GTCTTGAGAAAAAAATGCTAAATATAAACTATTACAGAACATTTTGCCAACAAAATCAACTCTGGTCTGAATTAAACTCCATTTCTCCAAACTGAGGTCATTCATAGACCCTTTTTTTCAAAAGTTTTTATGTATCCCTTTAATCCATTTAATTTTGGAAAACACACCCTGTGGTGGTGGAAAAGATGCTGTCTTCATTAAGCAAGCACATGTGGAAACTTCTGAAACGTGAAATTAGTTAAAGAACTGCTCAGTACACTGATAAAACCTAAGGAGTCWTCTTAGAGACAAAATGTTTTTAAAAAAACATGGGATCTGAAATTGTATTTACATTTAGTGAATTGTTTAAAGTAGACATATCTTGCTTTTAAATCCTTCTTTTTCACATTTAAATAATTCATTTGGGCTCTATTTAAAGTGGAACTGCAGTAATTTGGTCTAAATTCCTCCTTATTGTAACTCCACAAGCCCCTCGTTCACCCCTTTTCTGAGATGTCTCAGATGAACTCGTTTTGAGGCTGTTCCTTTAAGTCCAAACAAGGCGCTTCACACCCCGCCTCTCTCCAGCTTCCAGAGGGGTTCATTCTAGTTTGATAGAGCGGTTTACGACAGAGATTTTTTATTTACAAATTTATAGACTCCAGGCACATAACAAAATGCATTGGCTAAGGAAGTGGATTTTGCAAAAAATGTTAAAATCTAAAGCACAATTTGTAGTGATATTTAATTCTAAAAACAAGAACAAGTGACTTAACCTAAAAAATGAAGTTAATAGAATTAAAGTCTTCAGATTGCAATGAAGTAAAAAAGTGGACTGTGGAGAGATTTATAATTACTGATGGATAAAGGGTTGTGCCCATTTTTATTGACTATTGTAGAAGTTTATGACATTAATATTATGATCTGGACTTTCTAGGTGAACAAATTTTCCATTCCAGAAATGTGTGGTCAATTGACTGCTTGATTAAAATAAAAGAAGCTAATTTATTTATCAGCAGATTTTATGATGGCACAGGCATATTCCTTTATGAGAACAGCATCAAGGTCTAAGAATGAAGGAGCAGTTCAGAGAGCATTATAACTTCATTTTTAACACCACCAGAGAGTTGAAATCTTATTACCACTCAGAATTATCAAAATGTATTAGAGAAGATTTAATGCAGTAGACGCTTCCAACATCAGTTCAGTATTTTGGTAAAACAAAACAAAACAAAACAAAAAAATCCACTCTGATCTGATTTTTTTAAATCATTTTTTGTCGTTTTGTTAATTGAAGCTTTATTGA